CCGAATGGCCTCCTCTCGTTTGTATAGTTCTTATGTTCTTATGTTGTTCTTATGTTTTTATTGAGATATCCATATTCTAGGCTGTTGAACACACACTCTTACCCACACGCTTTAACTTTACGGTACGGTCATTTTTACCGGCACCATTCACCAATATTAACAAAGTGTGGAGCAGCTTTGACATAAATAAGGAAGCTCCATCACACTGAGCATTAAATAAGATCTATGCAAATTCCAAAACATCTTTAACAAATTACTTCTTACACAATTTATTTTTCCCGAATTTCCACAGGATATTAACAATGTGCACTTTTGACAAGGTAGTCATTCGAATGGGTCGTGACAGGTCGATATTAAACCAATTACCCAGTAGATTCAAACTTATTTTTTGGTGGTGTAGGGAAAAAGATGCATTTTTTCCCAAAGCAGTTTAATAAACAGTGGCCCACTCTGCACTGACAGACATCCTGACATAAATCATGTGTTAAATACCGCTCGTGCGTTTAATGCATACGTACGTTCTTCCGCTCACTTGTGGACGTCAGCTGAGTAGGCGGCCCCTCAATGCAACCCGGGACAATTCTGTGTTCACGCTGCTATAAGAATGCAGCCATATGCATCCCAGACCACCTCCGAATGTGGGTTGAGCGATTGGATGCATTTTCAATGCATTTCAGTGCGTTCACACCTGTCAATTAGCACTGTCCGCTTGTGATCGGATCACCCAGAATGCATGCTAATACCAGGTGTGAATAGGGCCTCTATTGAAGATTAGAACATGACCATTTGCAATATCTCAAAGGCTAGAATATCCTACATATTTATTGTTTATTACTGAGGATACACTCTTCAGAGTTTCTGTATATGTAGCCAGACATTTCCTGAAGCTCTTCAGGTCATGAATACAACAGAATTGTCTTGCCTCTCCTCATACCTTTCTCACAGTTCCGGCCTCCAAACCCTAGGGAGCAGTCACAGCTGTAGGAGCCCCATCGATTCACGCAGGTTCCTCCATTTTGACAGGGGTTGTTGTTGCAAAAGTGCTTCTTTGCAAAGCATCCTGGGAAATGATGTGACACTATACTTCATCGGATGTAAAATGTGGAAACACTTTGCTCTGGTAAGGCCTATGTAGATACATTTGTACCAGGCTGAGGTGCGTTTGATATAAAAAAAACAAAAAAAATCAACTGTGAAATGCCGTAGATGGGCACTATCTGTGCCATGCCTATTTTCATCTTAAACCAGTTACCTTTCTGTAATCTTACCTGGTACAGTGCCATTGTTTGCAATGTGGTCTTCCATGTCCACCTGCTGATGGTCAATGCGCAGGTTCTTCATGCAGCCCACAAACTGGCGGTTCCGTACTGGGAAGTCCTCTGGCAAGTTGGGCACGCCGCCCAGAAGCAGCGGCCCCGTCAGATCCAGTGACCTGGGTGGGGCAGAGGGGGAAGGAGGTGGGCTATCAGTAAGCAGTGTGGCTGACATCTAGGGTTCCCTTAGCAATCTTGAATGCAGCAGAAAATTGCCTCTGAGACGGAACAGGAAATGTCACTATTCAGACAAGAAGCTCCTTGCTTTTACCGTCAGGTCAGAAAGTGGGGTCTTAATTTGCTGTATTTCAAAGGAACTTGCCCTGGGGATCAAACTGGCCTCAAAAAGCAGGTGACATTATCGGACCTCAGGTGAGCTATTACTCATTTACACACAGAGATCTGCTGCTTTGCTACAGAAGCTTCCCTGCAGAACATCACATGGCCATCATCTCCCTGAACATTCATGTCCTTTTCCACCCCAGCAAGCATACAGAAGATCATTCACACACACCCACACATACGCACAGCACACTCTGCAGACCGACTCCCTCCTTACTTTTTGGATCCTGATTGGCTCCCCTGGGCAGAGCAAGAGTAGTTGCCAAGCATGTGACCAAACTTCAGTGCCACAGAGGTGTCACACTCATCCACGGTTACCACGGCAACCTTCTGGTCGGAGGGGCCCTGGGGTAAGCCAGCCTGACTCAGGGTGGGCTGAGGGAGGGAACCAATGTGGGGAGAATGTGACACAGCAGCTGCCACACCTTCCCCTACTCATCAAAGCCACCATCATGCACAGAGCCCCACTATAGCCCAACCCCAGCCAAATCTCACCTTGTTATAGTAGTGAACCTGGACCACGTGCCACTGGCCATCACTCACACCACCCATGATGAAGGGTGACACCGTGGTCTTTGTCTCTCCTACGGAAAGAGAGCAGCAATCAGAAAAGCTCAATGCATAGGGAGGCTATGCTGACCCCTGAGGTAGCTGCCAGAAGCACAACAGCCAGAACCAGAAGCATAAGCCATCCTAGAAGAAGCAGAGGAGACGACAAACATAGACACTAAGCCTGGGCACCATACCCCCATGCTGCAGGTCCACCGAAATGCAAACCCCTCAAGGGAGAACTTCTTCTTATAGCCTACACTGACATGCTACACAAAGGGACCTTCTTGATCTCCAAGGAAGAGTAAGCATCAGCGCAGCACATGTCTAGAAGGACAGCTGATTCTCGGTCAGCCAGCCTGACGCACACCTGCGGAGAAGGTAAACTGGATTTGCTCGTTGGTGATCTCCATGGCGATGAAATCATGCTTCTCGTTGAAGCGGCCGTTGTAGAACAGAAGGCCATTGCGCTCCTTGGTGGCAAACCTGAAATGGAACAACAGTCAGTTCAGAGCTGTGAATATAATTGACTGAAATTCATTTAATTATGACTTTTCCCCTTTCAGTAGATGCTTTTGTCCAAAGCAAAAGAGAAGTGAGAATCAGAGTACTAGACAGTACTAGACAGTATTAGACAGTATTAGACAGTATCGCTTGAGCAATCAAGCCTTGATCAAGGGCCCAATGCTGACTTCACTCTGCCAGCCACAGGATTCACACCATAACACAAAACAAACAGCACAAGTTTCTAACATGCCAATCCACACGCCACCCAGTAAATGACTACAGACTGAGATTCATAACATTTAAAGACATAACACACGTGTTTGATCATTATACACAAAAAGGTTTTAAATGTAACTTTGTCCAGTCCAAGCTAATCGTAAATCCCTTAAAAGTTTTGCCATTTTGAGTTGAATGTATTTTTTCTATTGTGAAAATGTCCCGATCACTTCATAAAATGCCCCGGAAAAGCCTAAAGTAGCAGAGATCTGCGTGAAACCTGAGAAAGGCTCACCATGCATTTAGTGGGTCCAGGTGGAAGCAAAATTTTAGGGTTTTAGCCAAATTAATGCCTCCATTCCAACCATCACAAACCAGTCCGGCTTCTCGTCACATTTTGAAGGTAGTGGTGTTATGTTCCTCTCATTTGTACTTTCCTTCAGATTAAAAAAAAAAAAAAAAAGAGCCCAACTGGTTCTGGTTTCAAAGTGTTTTTACGGTGGTGACAAAAAGACAGCTTCAGTGGGGGCTTTAAACCCAGCGGGACAATGGAAGCGAAATCGGGGCGGAGAGCACAAACAGGCACGCTGGGCCTCCGCAACTACATTAACCCTCACTTATCCAAGCAGGAGAGACACGTCACTCAGCAAGGCTGCGCCTCTGCCCGTCTACAGGCGCCACGCTGCCTCACTCCTCCACCCACCACTTCCCTCTCAACGCCTTTCACAGGCAGGACACACCGGACTCATAATTCATATTCATAACTCATAATGTGACGCAGGGAACACAAATGCATGCACACACACGTACACACCCACACACGCCAGCAAGCACACGCATGTGCCAGGCTTTGCTTTACTGCTAGATTCACTGTAATGCATTATGGTCTGTGCATATAGGAAAGACTGTGCTAAGTGTACTTCCACAGGGTCCCTGCAAGGGGCGCCATACGTACGTGAGGGATAGCGTAAAGTGGAAGCGCTGTCGGAGTCCCCTGAAGGTGAGGAAGGAATTTGGTGGGAAGCTGCGAGTGTTCATCTGGCAGTAGGGCTTCTCGTAGCTGCCTGGGGGGCACTCGCACTTGAAGCCGCCCACCAGCAGGTTGACACACGTTCCCCCGTTCTTGCACACCCCGGGGACACAACGGGCCGAGCGCGTCGAGAGCTCGCATCTCTCACCTGGTGCAGGAGGAGCGGTGCAGTCAGGACACAGGCACACACTGATCATGTGACACATGTGGGCTGAAAAGGGGCAGACACCTGTTACACGTCTGTCAGGCGTCTAGCAACATACGTAAACTACATCAGCGTGAAATATAACGCCACCTCTATGGCAGGTCAGGACGGTTGAAAATGAAGTTCTTAGAAGTCCCAGACACTTGGCTCACACCTGACATTCCCGGTCAATCCATTCTCATACACAAAGCTCAGTTTCTATTTTTTCTTACATTCCGCCTGGCTTTAGTAAGTCCAATCAAACGGAAAGGTGCCTCCTCAGCCGCTCCACATGACAGTCACAAAAACACACGCCCCGGCCCAAAATGCCCCCAGCCACTGCATTTGGCTTGCAAACATTCCCCTGCACCTTTATCCCCTCCAGCTTTCTCTGCTGCATCAAATTACTTCCCAGACAGAAGTGTGATTCTCGAGCCACAGCTGAAAAAAAACTGAAAGAAAAACTGGAAAAAAAAAGAAACATTTTTCATCATTAAGAATTCAGCCTGCTCCAAAGCTCACCACAAACAGGCAAAAAGGGGAAAAAAACTGAATTTGTAGTTGCCAGAGTAACGGGTCTCCCAGACAACTTCCCTGCCCCATGGAGCTTCTGGACCCAGGTTAGTTCCGTGTTTATTTTCTGGTGCCTTCACGCATCAGACCGAGACCCCGAGGACAAAGAAAAGGAGACAGCTCTAAGCAGACGGGCACACAATCCCCCAAGCATTTAACACAGTTTTCCATTGAGCAGTTTCAGCTTGTTTTCCCCCCTTTTTTTCTTCTCAGGCAGCAATCGTTCAGCTCTAGGGCTTGTGTAGCGTCTTTAATCATTTTGTAGGTACTTTCCTTCTTTTAAGCTTCTTTAAGCCTGGAAGCTCAGCTCATTCCTTAGCCCAGTGCTAGGAGTAATGTTCCAGGGGTAAAAAAGACAGAGGGCACAACAGAGACTTAGATCCTATATATGTATCTCTTATTAGACACAGTGACCAGGTTAGAAATAGCACTGATCCCCCAGACTGGTAACTTTCATCATCTAAACAGACTTCCCATATGTTCCTCAATGGACCCTACTGCTCACAGATTTGAGATCTCACCACCGTAATGGAGTTCCCGCTCTGCCATCAGATTAGAGATCTCACCACCGTAATGGAGTTCCCGCTCTGCCATCAGATTTGAGATCTCATCACCGTAATGGAGTTCCCGCTCTGCCATCAGATTTGAGATCTCACCACCGTAATGGAGTTCCCGCTCTGCCATCAGATTTGAGATCTCACCACCGTAATGGAGTTCCCGCTCTGCCATCAGATTTGAGATCAGAATCCTAACTGAAGATTAAACAGTCCCGCAAAGTGAAGGTCATCATATATACATAACAGGGGCATAACCACAATTTCCTCATGCTTAGTGCAATGGACCCCAGACTTGCAGTTACCACCTCGTCTTTACAGGCATCAAAAGGAATCCAGGTGTTTTTTCATCAGGGAAGGATGGGTTTTGTACGAGGTACTTGAGTTTTAATAATCATCACTGTACATGAATAGTCCCCTAAAGGACAAGGAGGATTTGAAATGTTACTAAGCTACCACATGGATCCTCCTGGGAGGAATGCTCAAAGCGCTTCAAAATGTCTGGCTGTTAATCCTTCTAATGAACTTCAATGAGCTGCGAGTGTAACAAGCTGGGATACAAAGAAACGGTCACAACTTGCCAGCATTACTGACTTACAGCAATCCTACAACTATCCTTTAACCCCCAAATGGGAGAGAATAATCTGTTTAACGGAACCAACAGACGTGCCATTAAAAAGCAAAATAACCTGAAAATAAGAAAATAACACAGACACGATTTGTCCAGCGACCTCCTAAAAAAGGGTCTTATAGAAAAGACTACAAATAAATAATGTTTCGAATGTAAATGAGGGCAGCAAACTGGCATGGCCTTGGGACATGTGCAGAGGATATAGCTTAGATCCATATCATGACCCTATGAGAACAGACACCAAGAACAATAGAAGGGACACTAAGACCAGAGGAAGTATAGGAGAGACACCAGACACTAATTCCAAAGGAGGGGACCAGAGAAAGTCTAAGGGTCTAATTGCTCCGCAACATTGTTCAAAAAGTTGCCCCATGTATCATCACCTTCAAAGATGAGGGGATAGCCTCCTCGAGGACTTTTAAAAAACTGGTAAACACTCATGAAAACAGACAGATGAAGTCCCTAAAACAAGCTTGCTACATTCCTACGGGAAAAGGGCAGCCCGCTCACCAGTGTAATCCTCCAGGCACTCGCAAGAGAAGCCGCCTTCTCGAGTGCGGCACACGCCATGGGGCCCACAGGGTTGCGAGTAGCACAGGTCGATCTCCGTCTCGCAGTAGTCGCCGGTAAAGCCATGCGGGCAGCGGCAGCGGAGCCCGGCGATGGGATGGATGGGGCGGAAGAGGATGGTGTCGGAGGCGATGAAGGGTGCCAGGCTGTCAAAGCGCAGCACTGACACACACTTCATGTAGTTCTCGCAGGGCTCACGCAGGCAGATGTTGTCATCGAAGGGCAGCACACGCAGAGCGGAGACGTGTGCCAGCAGGCTGCGGTTGAGGTACAGCCGCTCCTGGAGCTCCTCGGAGCCAAAGAATCGCCCCCTGGAGGGCCCAGCCCCCGGCATCGCCACCGACAGGCTAACGTTGAGGATGCGTGTGCTAACGTCCGTGTCATCCTGGATGTTGAAGACCACCACGTCCTCACGGGTGGCAGACAGCACCCGGGCCACGCCCTCCAAGAAGTGCCCAAGTAGCGGAGACAGGAAGTCCTCCTGGGACATGTTGGCTAGCCGCAGCGTGATACTGTTGGATAGCATCTGGTCTGTGATGATGGTCACCTGGAGGAGACACTGGGCAGACACTGTGTGTACACCATCTGGGGGGAAAGGGACAGACAAAGAGAGAATAAAGTTTAATTCCGGGGTAGCCCTACTCAGTTTGAGACAAGATAACATATGAATCTCTACAAACGTTTAACATTTAAGCTCTAAAGCCTTTTTTTTTTTTTACAGGACTCAATTTAAGACAAGGGTGTCAAACTCCAGTCCTGGAGGCCGGAACCCTGCACAGTTTTCGGTTTAACCTCATTTAACACACCTGATTCAACTCCTTGTGCTAATTACCACACAGCTCTTGAGCTGAATCATTCGTAGTGAAACAGGGAAAGAACTAAGCTACACAGGGCTCCGGCCCCCCAGGACTGGAGTTTGACACCCCTGATTTAAGACCTAAAATACACAGCCTTTGACCAAGGCACATTTCAACTGGTCTCACATTTCAACCACACGTAGCGGGGGGTTACCATTTAAATTAATTAAACAGGGAAATGTGCCATTCCTTTAAGCACGTTGAGTGTCACATGAGCTGTAGCGACCATTAAACTGCCTCAACACTCACAACACGTACACGTATGCATCATGGCCGGCATACGTTTTCTGCGTTGATTCCACACGTCGTCAGTGCACCTACGCGACATAACGCGTGTGCGAGTTGTACCACCAAAAATTGGAGTGGCAGTATTGTCACCTTTTGTCACTGGACTATGTGTTTATATATGATACAGTTAGTAATAAAGGAGCAAATCAAGTCAGGTTGTGGAGCATAGCGGGCGGCCGCATTTACGTGTAGCGCAGCCGCATTTACGCGTAATGCGCTGATGCAGCGCGTTGCCGCACCCAACACATGATGGAAAATCTCAGATCCCGGCTGGTGACCCCCCAGGGTGACACACAGTCCAGTCCCACACTCCGGAAATGCACATCTGTCTGCCGCAGCAAGGTATTACGTGGGCGTCCCCTCAGCCTAGTCCAGCTGCTTGGGTCCTCAGCTATGAGGATCCTGCGAGCCGGGTCACCCTCAGGGAATCACGCCACATGGCCATAGTGCCGTAACTGATGCTCTCACACAATGCAGGTAATGTGCCTCATTCAGGGCTCCTCTAGCAACCACACATTCAACACAAAGTCAAGCCAGCGGTACCCAAGGATTCTCCGAAGAGACACAGTACCGAAGGGGTCCAGTCTTCATCTCAGCTCACTGGATAGCGTCCATGTCTCACAGTCATACAGCAAGACAAGGAGCTCCAAGGACTCTAAAGACTTGGACCTTCGTCCTCTCGCAAAGATATCAGGAACACCACACACCCCTTTCCAGTGACCCCATAACCCCCCATGCTGTCCTAATCCATTTGCTGACTTCATAGGAAGAGTCACCAGAGACATGAATGTCACTGCCGAGGTAAGTGAATCTCTCGACGAGGTCGACATTCTCCCCGCAGACAGGCACACTACTGATGGCTGTGCCTATGAAGTCATTAAAGGCCTGGATCTTGGTTTTTATCCAGAACACTCACAATCCCAGACACTCAGACTCCTCGCTCAGTCTCTCCAAGAGCCCCGATCAGAGCCTCCATTGACTCTATGAAGATCACAGCATCATCGGCAATGTCAAGATCAGTAAAACTTTCTTCACCAACAAATGCCCCGCAGCTACTGGACCCCACAGCCCTGCCTAACACCCAGCCCATGTAAGCATTGTACAGAGTAGGAGCAAGAACACACCCTTGGCGAACCCCAGAATCAACTGGAAAGAACGCAGAGTTTCTCCCTCCAATCTGCACAGCACTCACCGTACCAGTGTACAGACTGGCCATGGCGCCCAGTAACTTTGGGGGGATCCGGTGAAGTGTCAGGATGTCCCACAGGGCAACTTGAAAATCAACAAAGTCTGTAAAAAAACCTCTGCTGATATTCGCGCTTGCGCTCGTTGAGAACCCTCAGTGCCAGGATGTGGTCAATGGTAGACTTCTTAGGTATAAAACCAGACTGTTGTGATCAAGGATCAAGGATCCTTTTAAGGTTGACCTGGCACTGAGAGCAGTGTTAAACCCCTGTAGTTGCTGCAATCCAGGCAATCACCCTTTCCTTTCCAGATAGGGACTACAAGTCCCATTTTCCAGTCAGTTGGGATGACGCCTGACTCCCAAATGGAAGCAAAGATTTCCTGCAATCCCAGTAGGACAGCATTACCTCCCAGCCTGGAGAAGTTCACCTCGGATACCACAGATCCCTGCGGCCTTCCCTACCCCCAGCTGATTCACCACCTGTGCAATCTCAGTCAGACTGGGTGGTTCAAGAATCGTCGACCTAGAGATGCCCAACGCCCTAGCTGGGGGATCAGCTTTAAACAACTGCTCAAAGTAGTTGGCCCAGTGGGTCACAACTGCAGTGTCATCCGTATGGACCGTTCCATCACCTGCCCTGACTTCAAGTCTCTGAGGAACAGATTGAGCTGTATTGCAATGCTTTGATTCCTCTGTAAGCAGGACGTGGGTCATTTGACTACAGATGGTGTTAGATGAATCTGTGAGCAAGTCACACAAATGCTTCCTTTCTGCCCCCAGAGCCCTCACAGCTGTCTCCTCAGTTCCCAATACAGACTGGAGTTGCCACCAAGCCATGCTTTGCAACGCATCTCCATAATATCTAAGGTGCCCTGCAAGATGAAAAACCTTCTTCTGGGAACACCGGCAACACCAACACAACCTCAAGACACACCCAGGAATATCTAGTATATGTTTAACATTAATTTAAAGTTTACTGCCACTACTTTTGCAATAGCTCTGCACGCTCTCCGAGCTAATCCTAATCATCTTTATCCTTGCTGTTTAAATCACTCATGAATAGACATGTTTGTGAGAAACTGATCCATTTTAAACTATTTTTTTCTTTATAAATACAGCAATACTTCTTGCAGAAATCGATTTTTTCCAATATTGTGCATCCTAATTATGAAATACTAACTAATACGAGAGATCTATCAATATACAAAACATAGGGTAGTAAAGTGATGTGTGGCAGCACAAAGTACCAATACAATGTGGAGCAGAGGGTAGAATATAGAGAAAGCTACAGTATTACAAAATTAAAACTCGATTGCTGTGGAGAGAGCGACTGGACAACATTTCATGTCACAACCTCTTACAAACAAGTGAGAACAGAAATGAAAGATTCGACCAAGATGCTTTTCTCGCACTGCCCCCTGGTGGACATGATCTTTAATCCTCCAGATTGACATAAACTACACACGTAAGTATAGTCAGTACACTGCTTGCGTTGCATACGCCTCGCGTTGCATACGTGTCGCGTGAAGTATATCGCCGGCCTAATAGTACAGACTTTCAACACTGTAAATAAGCTTCCATTTCTCTGGATCCATTTAAAGTCCTAACAGTGTTCTGAAGCCCCATGCAGAAGTGGAGATGTTGAAGTTTATGTAGGCCCCCAAGATTCTGAAATCGCTAGAGGGCTAGAAGAAAGTGGTAATATTGCAAAAAAATAAAGTATTCCTGCGGTAACAGCAGGAATGTAGATGATCTTAATGGTATTCCCACAGGGATGGTAATAAAGTGTATGGCAACGCAGAGGTAACAGTAATGAAACTGCTCATATATGCATATTCTTGTTTCTGCTATATTAATTATGAGTTCTTTGGTTCTGTTAAATTATTCATTCTCTCCCCACCACCACCTAGGGGTTGTCAATTGAGTAATTTAATAATTAAGATATTTAAAGGCAAACATGGGCATGTTTAATTTTACATTGTACTGTTGGGGTGTAGGTGAACACAGGGATGGGGTGGGGACAGTTTTGGTGAATGCGGGGACAGAGTTTAGATGTTTGCGGGGACGGATGGGGATGTAGAATGACATCTTCCCCTGCAGCTCTATACATGTAGCAGTGTTCAAACCCCTCAATGAGGAACCCTAAACCAAGCCATTGTAAAAACTGTACAAAACCTGAACAGCAGTATTCTGAATCACCCATAGCGAACCCTGGCTACACCTAAGCACAGAGCATTTTCCTGTCAATAGTAGCAACATCCTCTGGTAATCAGAGATGAGGAAAACAGGCTGACAGTAGCACTGAGAGTAATGCTGCGTTCCATTTACATCGAAGGTCGGAACTCGGAATGACGTCACACACGAGTTAACAGTGTTCCAGTACATAAAGTCGGAATGCCATTTAGCAGTACCAGGGATCCATTTCAAAAAGGAAGATTTCTTATTTACCTGCATAACTTGGATTTAATTTACCCCAGTTCATATTTACTGGGTGGAGTGGTGGCTCTGAGGCTAGGGATCTATGCCAGTAACTGGAAGGTTGCTGGTTCGAATCCTGTGAATGCCCAGAATAATTCTACTCCATTTGGCCCTTGAGCAAGTAACCTGCAATTACTTCATTAATCTACATCCAGCCCTATAAGAAGGTCCTCCAACTTACAGGGGAAAAACTTGGGGGTTGGTGGAAGGATTGGCACTTCAGCCACAAGAAAAAACTCACACTGGTCCATTCGGACTCACCCGCCTCATGGCTGCACTCAGGACCACACCCCTGAGGTGATTTGTCATGTGATGGAGGCCGCAACGCACTATATCAGTGCATGCTCCTTACCTCTCCTCTTACATTTAGCCCAGATGACCTTAAATCCGACAATCCCAAGAAATCCCCCTTAATGAAACGGGCCCCAGTTGTAGCCTGGTTAATTGTTAGCCATTGCTAGCAATTTCAGTGGATAACAACACATTACACGGTATTTTGCATAGCTACATGTCCAGAGACAGCGGTTGGACAGTACTGTGTGTACAACCGATTTAATGAGCCACAAACAAGACGTAAGTGCTAATAAACAGTATAAAACTACAGCTTTAACTTTCCTATTGATGAAGGGTGCAGCCATCTTGAATTCTGAGCTCAGGGCTGTGTCGACTCCTCCGAGTTCACAAGTTGGAATTCCAACTTCAGGGAGCGTTCCAGTTGAAATTTCCGACGAAGAACTCGGAATTTACCAGTTAGGAGTTCAAATGGAACAGCATAA